ACAAACGGAGCCTTGAATACCTGAGGCGCCCCTTTGGAATCCGACGAACGTCAGCGGCCATCTCGGACAAAGAATGCGCTCGAATATATTTCGCGCCAGCGTGCCGCACTGTGTGCAATGCCTCTTGTAAGCCGCGCGCAGATGGCGCGCGTTCTTTGCCCGGAGCAGAGCGCCCGCAGAAGACAGGCAACATTTCAGCACTTTCTGCAGACAGATGCAATCAGAGCAGCGGGCGAAAGATGATCTGTCGCAGAGAATGGTCAGTCACTCGAAAATCGCACCGATCCGCGAGATGGACCGGGCTTCCGCAAAGCAGCTGGCGAGCAGAGTCGCGGCCCGCCGCTCGTCGGGCGCGCGATGGCCGCGCAGACAGGCGCCCCCGAAGAGGCGTGGGCCGCTGCCCCGGCACCGCCGCCGCTGCCGGCGAAGCCCCGCTGCCGGGAAGGTCGCTGGGAAATGCTCGGCAAGCGTCAGCCCTGCGCGCGCGCGGTCGCGTTCGCGGAGGTCTCGTTCGCCGTCGCAGAAGTCGAAGGCGGCGAATGCCGGCGGGCGCGAGCCGCCCCCCGCCAGCGACGATAAGGAGTCGAAATCGTCAGGAGACGCAGAGATCGAGATTCTGCGCGACATGCCCCGTGACATCGGAAACCTCGCAAAGGTGGGGAGTCTCCGGCAGTTGCTGAAAAAGGCGGCAGGCCGCGCGAAACAGATCAGCCAGAAGCGACACTCTAAACGGAATATGTCGCGAAACATATAATCTTGGATATGGGGGTCTCCACACTTGATTGCGTGTATGAAACCAAACAGAGACGTGTTTGTTCAAACGGAATTGGGTACGCGATCGCACGTTCGGTACCATCAGATTGTTCTGTTCTGGCCATATCTAGAGTTATAACAAATGCGATGTAACTATTTGGGTGTATCCGAAGGGTGGGCCCAAGCAGTGCCTTGACCGGAACTAGCCAAGCAGACAGCTCTTTCCCACGGGCTGAGATCTGATGGGGCGCGTTAGAATACAGGCAGATGGTGAACCACAGCAGAGGCGTGCATCATCAGTTGGCATGTCCGCAGCGCTTGAGCTTCCAGTCCAGGCAAAATAGCGCTTCCTTCTTTTACTGGCTCGGTCCCAGGATTCCGCCAGCTCCACCTCGGAGCCACAGGTGCGACGACATCCATGAATCCTGCTACTTCCCCCCGTTGCCACGGGCTCCATAATGAAACCCGACGCGAGGAAGCTTAGGAGGACAACGCATGAGCGGCATCAAGCTCCACATGAAAACAAAAATATAGTCTCCAGCACTCTGATTTCTAGACGCGTTCGTTTTCGTCGTTCTTGTCATTTTGTGTTTCTTGGTTTGTTTGAGTTGTTTTCTCCTTGCTTTTTAAGTCCAAGTCAGCCGGTTCTCAGAGCCTGGCTTGACATCTTCTGGCAAATTTGGTGTGTACGAAGGTGTCCCATAATACAGCCAGACACAGTGTATCTTTGCATTCAGGAGGTACGCGTGGTTTTTTTCGCACAGGTCGGAAACAGAGGTGTCGTTCGTGACAGCGTCGGCCTGCCCCGTGTGGTTTTTTGTGGCAGGTCCAGAAGAGGATCGCCAACCACACGCCGAAACGTTGGAGATGGACTGGACCAGGGATGCCCGAAAGAGTGGGCATACTCAGTCCTAGACCAAAATGGGAGCCAAAGGAAATTGCGCAGTCAACTGCTTCTCGGCGACCCTGGCGCGGTTGTCCGTGGTCAGGCGAGCCTGAGGCGGGTGTACAAAAAATGCCTTGTATGTTGCACTAATATGGACATGCGTGGCGAATGACTGGTTATCAACCGAAAGTCTCTCCAGGAGCTCGTCTTCGGTGGCGCCGCCTTTTCCCAACAGTCGGAGAGGTAGCAGTGGTGGCTTTACCAAAAAGGGGGCTTTGCAGGTGCGCTCTGATTATACACGAGCGCCTAACGCAGGGGTCGGGTGGCTCACGCCCCTGGGCCCGATCTAGGAAAAGGGGGCAATCGCCCGGCTTAGCTGCGGTTGCCGGCTGTGTCACGAAAGAGGGGGCAGTTGTTTTTTTCCAACTTTCGAAGGCCAAACCAGCAGGTTCGCAGAGCCTGGCTTGACATCTTCTGGCAATTTTGGTGTGTACGAAGGTGTCCCATAATACAGCCAGACACAGTGTATCTTTGCATTCAGGAGGTACGCGTGGTTTTTTTCGCACAGTCGGAAACAGAGGCGTCGTTCGTGACAGCGTCGGCCTGCCCCGTGTGGTTTTTGTGGCAGGTCCAGAAGAGGATCGCCAACCACACGCCGAAACGTTGGAGATGGACTGGACCAGGGATGCCCGAAAGAGTGGGCATACTCAGTCCTAGACCAAAAAGGGAACCAGAGGAAATTGCGCAGTCCTCGGCGACACTGGCGCGTTTGTCCGTGGTCAGGCGAGCCTGAGGCGGGTGTACAAATAATGCCTTGTATGTTGCTCTACTGTGGATATGCTTGGCGAATGACTGTTTGGCAATGTCGAACTATTCCGTCTTGTTCGTTTCCTATATTTGTTTTGCTGCCGAAATTTTCGTAGGCACTACGTTTGTAGATTCTGGCACAACCCCGATGTGCAACCCGTGGAGTTTAGTGCGATGACGCACTGAACTCCACGGGTTGCTCTTGGCCCGGTTCCTCGCGACTTTCTTCGTGGCCGTGTGCGTTGTGCTCGTTCCAGTCGTTGTTATAACAGTTAACGTGCGAACCATCGGCTTCATTTGAATGAGCACCCTTGCCGCCTTGTTTTCCGCCGCGCTTTCCTTTCGAATTAACCTGCACTCAGACGTCCAATGGTACATGATTCTGCAAGTGTCGCGCCATTTCTGTGGCGACCCGTGGTTGCCATACGATTTTGTCGAGAATTTACCGGGTCCTTGCCGACCATTTTTGGCCCATTGGCCTTGACGCCCCCACGTGGAACCAGGCTCCCCGTTGCCCGGTCCGCGACCAGGACGTCCCCAGGTGTAGTCGTGCTGAAAATCTCCTGAACCTTCTTCAGATCCTGCCTTCTCTCCTTTACCAATTCCTCCTAAATCGTATCCTTCTCCTCCTGTCTTTCCTGTTATCTCTCCTGTTTTTCCTGTCTTTCCTTCCAATGGGACGTGAATGGGTCCACTTCCATGGGCTTGTTTCTGGAGTCGTTCCTTGATTTGGCGAAAGGGTGTTTCCTGTCTCTTTTTCCTTGGAGGAAAGCTAGACTCTTCCGTTTGAGAATCTCGTAAGTTTCATACATGTCCGTCTTCAGCTCAAAGTGCCTTTTTTTCACTGGCTCAGGACTTGTTTGGATGATTGCTGTGACCGTCGCGTCATCAGAGCACTCTTCGTGGCTTGCCAATCATCTTGCTGCTGCACGCGAACCTCGAATTCAACAAGTTACTCTGACAAGCTGTCCAAATGTCCAGAAGATAAGTCGCAATTCAGAATGGCAGCGGTGAGTCACTAGGCCCTATCGTGTGTTTCTGTATTTGGGGTCATATCGGGCGCATGTTTTCCGCCAGGTCTCGAAACCGTGCCCCTTTTTCAAGTTTGCGATACACCTTTGCCATTTCTCCCTTGCCGAGGCCAACCTACATGTAAGCAATATTCGCCGCATGCTGTTTAATCGGTGCGGCCAGTTTGATCACCTCTTGTTGCATTGTTGCCAGCTCCATGTGTATCCACATTTCACTACTCACTGCATGTGCGTCGTTTTCTGACTGAAGCGACCCGTCTGGCCAATCAGTATCTCTTTCAGAAAACACTTTGACGCTCCTTCCCGGAACTTTCGTATCGATCGCGCCTTGTGCCATGGTTCACGCGTGATGTGTTTCAATCGTGATCGGTTTCCCTCTTGGAGTTTTAATCGGTATTCATTTACCACGATTCGGCTTCCATGAAAGAAGGAAACTAGTTTGCCAGGGCTTGAGGCTTGACCGCTGCGGACATGGAAACTGATGTTACACGCTCATGCTGTGCTCTACCACATGCCTGCCTTCTAACACCTCCTCCTCCTCCTTCTTCCTCCTCCTGTTCCTCCTCCCCCTCCTCCCCCTCCTCCTCCTCCCCTCCTCCCCTCCTCCTCCTCCTCCTCCTCCTCCTCCTCCTCCCCCCCCTCCTCCTCCTCCTCCTCCTCCTCCTCCTCCCCTCCTCCTCCTCCTCCTCCTCCTCTTTTCCCATCATTGCCCGGGGGTTTATCAAAGACCCTTTGGGGGTAGAACCCTTTCGTGTTCGACCCCGTGTTCGTCCCCCCCTTCCCCCCCGAGATTCAAGGCTGGGTCGGGCGCGTGGCGGCCAGGGGGGCTCCACTTTTTGTCCCGTCACGCCTGCGCTGCCGAAGGCCCGGGAGCAACTCTGAGTCTCGGGGGAGGGGGCGGGGTGGGGTCAAGGGTTCCACCATTCTGTCTGGTGCCGAGGACGGGGCGAGGCGGGGTCGTCGTCGTCGTCGTCGTCGTCGTCGTCGTCGTCGTCGTCGTCGTCGTCGTCGTCGTGGTCGTGGTCGTCGTCGTCGTCGTCGTCGTCGTCGTCGTCGTCGTCGTCGTCTTCGGCGGCGGCGGCGGCGGCCGGTGAGGTCTCGAGGCCTCAGTAGGCTCTCTCGGGCGCCCCGGGCCCGCCGCGCCGAGGGTGTGGCTCAGCTGCCCGTGCGGGCGCAGTGTGCCACGCCCAGAGGCAGCCCGCCATAGTCTTCCGTCCCGCTTCCTGTGCCTGTCCCTGCCTCTTTCCTCCCCTCTCCTCTCCTCCCTTCCCTCCCCTTCTCCTCTCCTCTCCTCTTTCCTCCCCTCTCCTCTCCTCCCCTCCTTCCCCTTCTCCTCTCCTCTCCTCTTTCCTCCCCTCTCCTCTCCTCTCCTTCCCCTCCCTCCCCTCTCCCTCCCCTCCTCCTCCTCTCTCCGCCCCTCTCCTCTCCCTCCCCTCTTTCCTCCCCTTCCTCCCTCCCTCCCTCTCCCTTCCCGTCCTCTTCCTCCTGTGGCCCTTCTTCCCCGAGGCCGCGCGCGCGCGCAGGTACGACTTCATCTTCGACGTCGAGATGGGTGCCGGGGGGGCGACCACCAGGCTGCCGTACAACAAGGGCCAGGCTCCTGCCACTGGCGCCGTCGACGATGCCGCCTTCGAGGAGTGGAGGAGGAGGAGGAGGAGAAGGAGGAGGAGGAGGAGGAGGAGGAGGAGGACAAGGAGGACAAGGAGGAGGAGGAGGAGGAGGAGGAGGAGCAGCAGCAGGAAGTGGAGCATGCTTGCGTGTTCGCACTTTCTCGCACGCGTCGGCGCAGCCGTTCACTGCAAGCACGGCCTTCGCCATCTCGCTCCGACTCTCGGATGCTCTTGCCCCCCTTCCCTTTCCCTCCCCTTTCCCCCCCTTTCCCCCTCCACTTCTCGGGCCCTGCATGGCTCACAGTGAGCGGCTTGAATAAGGAACGCTTACTTTTCAAAAGGGGCTCGGTCGTTCCTTAGGCTTGCATGCGTTATGTATCGTTCCCTATGCGTTATGCATCATTTGTTAATCGTTCCCTATGCGCTATTCCTTGGAAGAAAGGGGCTTCGTTCCTTATCTGTCGTTCCTTAGGTCAGGCCGATGACTGCATTTCGATTCTCCCGACTCTGTTCGAGTGGATTTTGGTCGACTTGGCAAAACGCGCGGAGAGCATCCGACGTGACCAGCACTAACTGGCCCAGAGACCACCCACCTCTGAAGCCCGTGGAGGCCAACTGAAGTGGGCACCCCTGGCCCCTTCGGGAGGCGGCCTTCAGCGCGAAGCGCCGAGACGCTGGGCCTCTTGAGCTTGCCATTGGGGAGCCCCTGAATGTATTATTTGTTAATCGTTCCCTATGCGTTAGTCCTTGGAAGAAAGGGGCTTCGTTCCTTATCTGTCGTTCCTTAGGTCAGGCCGATGACTGCATTTCGATTCTCCCGACTCTGTTCGAGTGGATTTTGACCGACTCCGACCCCGATTCGATTTCGAGCTCCGACCCGGAATTCGGCCCGGTGTCTCGACGGGGGTCCGCTCGCCTGCCGACCTCCGGCGGCTCGACTTCTCCCGACTCGGCTGCCGATCTCCGCCGACCCGATTCGAGAGGGAAAAACTCGGATTCACAAAGGTGAAGCAAAGTTAGACTCCCTGGTGCCCCTCGTCGTGTCTCACTCTCGCGCGCGCTCGCCGCGTGTCTGCCGCTGTTTGGGGGCTCAAGGGTGGGACCGCTTGTCCCGCCCGCCCACCCCTTATTGCTTTTGTTCTTCTGCCTGCGGCGCCGCTGCGCCTGGAGCCGCGAGCGGCCTCGGATTGGACCGTGTTTGCGCGGAGCCAATGAAAAAGACGGAGGAAGGGAGCAGGAGCTAACACACACAGACACAATTATTCGATGCTCGTTTTGGGGACCTTCCTGGGGCCCACCTAGTGGATCTGTTCGACTCGAGTTCGACTCAGGTTCGACTCAGGTTCGGCTAAGGTTCGACTCAGGATCGACTCAGGTTCGACTCAGGTTCGACTCAGGTTCGACGCGCGAGTGGAGCGAGTGGCTCCAGGAGGGTCCCCAGACTGGGCATCTGACAAGTAATCGTCGATTCCCCAGAAAATATGGGAGAATATGGGAAGTGGGGGGGGGACAAAGACCCCGAAGATATGGGAAAATCTGGGGAATCCTTTGCATTTGGGTGTGTACTTCTTTGTGTGTTCCAGGGCCCCTTCACCGGTGCACTTCGATCGCCGATTTCCGCCTCTCGACTCGATGGCGGGGCTCTCCGGCCCTGGCCATCTGGGGCCATCTTGGACCATTTTTAAAATTTTGTCCCCTTGCGACCGTGCCCGTCCAGACCCAGGGAGGGTGGGTCGGAGTAGGGGGAGAGGTGAACCTGTCCCTCAAAGGGAGAGGGGGGCTGGAATAACTAACTCCTTGCATCACCTGAGATTTCCTCACCATCTGTGACCCTGAAGCTTGATAGTTGCAAGAGCTTCACAGATGAAGGGAGTGATTTTCAAAATGGGGTTCTCGCCTCAGCGCCGCGCGCATTCGTCTTCAACGCTTGCCACCGTTACAAGGATGAAGCACAGGTCGATTTCAACATGGGGCTCTCGCCTGAGCGCCCCGCACACTTGTCTTGCAAATACTTGCAGTGCTGACGCCGGTAGAAGGTGGTGGTGCCCGTATGATCCTCCTGGCTGCGCCCCAACGGTCTCCGCAGTTTCTCGGCCCGAAGCTTGCCCCGCTTGCCCCCCGCCCCCCCAGCCGCGCGCGCGCGCGGCTGGGGCGCCGCGGGCTTGCACTGCCGTCGCCGCGCAGGCTGCCCCTCACCTGCGCGGCCTTTCTCGGGTCGTCTGCCCTTCGCGGCCTCCGGGGGTCCGGTCGGGGCCGGCCGGCCCCGTGCCCCGTCCGTCTTGCGCCAGCGTGGGGGCCCCGCCGTCCGCACGCGGCGGCGGTCGTCCGGGCGGGCGGGCCTCGCGGCTCCCCTGCTCGCCGCCGCCTCGCCTGCCGCTCGCGCTGCTCGCCCTGCTCGCCCTGCGATCGCCCGCTCGCGCTGCTCGCCTGCTCGGCGGCCCGCCGCGGCCTTGGGCCCTGCTCGCCCCGCCCGCTGCTCCGCGCTTCGGCGGGCGGGGCAGGCGGCGGCCCGCGCACGAGTGCCTGCCGTGCGCAGGCAGCCCCCGGCCTGCGGGGCTGGCTCGAGGAGCTGTGGGCTCTCGGGCCCGGCGCGCCTGTGGCTGCGAGTCGACCCTTCGGGTCGCCCGGACCCCTCGGGCAGGTGGCCCTCTGCGCCCACCTCGCCATCGACGGCGCAAGGCTCTCCTGATCCCCCTCGTCCTCCTCCTCCCCCTCTGGCCTTTGGGGCGGCGGAGCAGGAGGCTCGTCCCCAGACCCCCGACGTCGTGATTTTTTCACAACGTCGACCCCCAGAGGTCTGGACCCGTTCCCCGGGACCGGTTCTTCGTCCTGAGTCGTTTTTTGACGGTCCCGAGGCCCGGTAAGGGCCCCCGGAGGCCGAAAATAGAAAAAAAACCTCCCGTCGTGATTTTTTCACGACGCGAGGAGGTCTGGGTCTGAGGAGAGGAGCAGGAGGAGGAACTCACACGCCGATGCGCCGCGCCTCGCGCCGTGGCGCAGGGCGGGCCCTCGCCTCGGACGTTCGAGGTGCTGCTGCGCGCAGCTCCTGCGCTCGCCTCCCGAGGGCCGCAGCCGCCGCGGCCGCGGCCAGTCTTGCGGGCGCACGCATGACGAGGAGGAGGAGGAGGAGGAGGAGGAGGAGGAGGAGGAGGGGGAGGAGGAGGACGAGGAGGAGGAGGAGGAGGAGGAGGAGGAGGAGGAGGAGGAGGGGGAGGAGGGGGGGAGGAGGAGGAGGAGGAGGAGGAGGAGGAGGAGGAGGAGGAGGAGGAGGAGGAGTGACCAGGGACTGGTGGCGCCGAGGCGCTCTCCGCTGGCGCGCGCCTGGCGAGAGGCACAGGGGCCAGCGGCGCGAAGAAAACTGCGCTCGGGATGGGCGAGCCGGAGTTGGTGGGCCCTTCTGACCTCCGCCTCCTCGCCTCCTCCCTTTCCCTCCCTGCACAGCTCCGCCTTGGTCTATTTGCGCGCTTGGGCATCGTACAGTCGGGGCCCTGAGGAAGGAACCCTTTTCGTTGGGGAGGGGCTCGGTGTTCCTTGACTGTTCCACAGCTTGCCTCAGGCTTTCCTTAGGCTTTCGATCGGAAATCGAAGGTTCACTTATGGAAAATAGGGGCCTCGTTCCCTATTTTGGGTTCCTTAGGTCAACGCCCCCGACTGTAGGGGCGCCGTCGGGCGCTTCGGAATGCGAGGAGGGGAGGAGGGGGGCGCTTCGGAATGCGCCTCGGAATGCGAGGAGGGGAGAGGGAGGAGGGGAGAGGGACCTTGCCAAGGCCCGCCCCCCCAGCGGGCCCCCGAGAAGCGCGAGGGGCGCTGCCCCCACCCGAAGACGCGCGGCGGAGGCGGGGATGGGGCAACAAGCCCCCCCCAAAGCCCCCTCGCCTCCGGCCTTCGGCGGGGCGCAGGGAGTGCACCCTCCCGGGGTCGCCCTGCTTCGCGAGGCCCCGCTCCGCGGCGTCTGGTGGGGGCCCTGGTCGGGCGTCTCCCTTCGCCGCCCGGCCTGGAGGAGGAGGAGGAGGAGGAGGAGGAGGAGGAGGAGGAGGAGGAGGAGGAGGAGGAGGAGGAGGAGGAGGAGGAGGAGGAGGAGGGAGGCAGGGAGGAGGAGGAGAAACAGGAGGAGGAGGAGGAGAGGGAGGAGGAGGAGGAGGAGAGGAGGAGGAGGAGGAGGAAAAAGGAGGAGGAGGAGAAAAAGGAGGAGGAGGAGAAAAAGGAGGAGGAGGAGGAGGGGGAGGAGGAGGGGATTTTCGACGACAAATAAAAGATACCCCCAAAACAGTAGAAACATCGTCCAAAGATGGCATCGCTCGGACGTGTGCACTTTTTCTCGGCGGGGACCGTCGAAGAGCATCCTGGATCACCGAGCAGGAACAGCACGCACAAGACCGGAGGAGCGCACAGGGAACGGACGTCCGAGCAGCGGCAAGAGCCGGCTGGGGGTCGCCCTCTCTCCTGGTCTTTGGCAGGCTGTCGCGGTCGGCGAGGACCATCGACGAGGCACTTTTCTCGGCGAGGACCATCGAAGAGCATCCTGGATCACCGAGCAAGACCAGCACGCACAAGACCGAAGACCGCACAGGGAACGGACGTCCGAGCAGCGCTTGATGGGCCTGTTTTCCACCACCACCACCACCATAAGTTGGTGGTGGGAAGGAGGTGGAGGATGAGGAGGAGGAGGAAGAGCAGGAGGAGGAAGAGCAGGAGGAGGAGGAGGAGGAGGAGGACCCCCTCCCCCTCCTACTTGTGGTGGTGGTGGTGGTGGTGGAGAACGGGCCCACCACGCGCTCCCGCTGAGCGCCTCGACTGCTGTGCCGGCTCCCGCGCCGGCGGCGGCGCCTCCCCCATCGACGGGCGTCTAAAACTAAAACCGTGGCTGCTAAAACGGCCCTTCAGAGCCCCGAATCATCAGGGGTAACTCGGGCGTCCAAGTGGCTGCTAACACGGCCCTCCCCCGGAAGAAAAAATACAGCTTCCCGGAATTCGGCGCGGCACGCGAAGCAGTCAAAACGGGCTTCTTCCCGGAGGGACGAAGACAGCTTCCCGGAGGTCGATTTTAGCAGCCACGGATTCAGCAGCCCTTGCCCGGTTTCCGAGGGATGCCGGTGCTCCCGCAGGCTCGGGGGCGGCAAAGAGGGGGGTGATGACAAGGGGGGGGATATGGCGTGGGCCATGACATCTTCCCAGATTTTGGCGCCTCTTCTTATTTCAATACGTCCCTGGCCCCCAACCTGGGCCGCGCACATGCCGCCGGCCATGATTTGCGCCCCCCCTCTTGTACACCCCCCTCTTGGCCGCTCCCGAATCTGGAGAAGGAGCGTCCGTCCATCCGTGCAGCTGTGACACTTGCCCTGATCTCTGGATGGAAAAATAGAACGATTGCAAGAGTACAGTCGGGGCCCTGAGGAAGGAACCCTTTCCGTTGGCGAGGGGCTCGGTGTTCCTTAAGTGTTTCGCAGCTTGCCTCAGGTTTTCCTTATGTTTTCGATCGGAAATCGAAGTTGGACTTATGGAAAAAAGGGCCTCGTTCCTTATTTAGGGTTCCTTAGGTCAGCGCCCCGACTGTAGTACGATTGCAAGAGTACATCTGCGGCCACCTCTCGGGTGCTCGGGAGGGTTGTGGAAAAGGAGTGCCAGCTGATGACAACTGCGATGGGCCACCATCCAGGCACCCTGGGAATAAGAGCACTACGTCGCGTTATCGGTGTCACGATCGATGTCACTGTCGATGCTCCGATCGGTACCACTATCTGTAGGTCGATCTCACTATCGATATCACTATCGGTTCCGCTATCGATTCGCTCTCAATATCACTATCTGGTTGTCGATTTCACAATCAGCCTCACTATGAATATATCGGTCTCACGATCGACCGCACCATCGGCGCTACGATGGGCAACATAGGAACACCACTTCAACAAATAACTGTCACCATCGGGACACCATCGGAACACCATCGGGACAACATCACGACACCATCGGAACACCCCCGACCATCGGGACACCATCGTGGTCCATCCGCCCACTGTATGTCTGTCGGTCTCATTATCAGCCTCAATGTACGTTTTGCTATCGACCTGACCCCACTATCGATATCACTATCGATTTCAGTATCGATTTCACTATATTTAAATATATGTATAATAGATGTGATACCATTATCGGTATAACGATCGACACGGGAGGGTGTATTGCAGCATTTTTTTTTTTTTTTTGTTAAAAAAAAAAAAAAAAAAACGAATTTCGGATTTGTTCTGATCCTCTTCCTCTTCCCCCCTCTCCTCCTCCTCCTCCTCCTCCTCTTCGTCTCCCTCCTCCTCCTCCTCCTCCTCCTCCTTCTCCTCCTCCTCCTCCTCCCTCCTCCTCCTCCTCCTCCTCCTCCTCCTCCTCCTCCTCGTCTCCGCTCTCCACGTCTGCCCTCGCCCTCCCCCCCCCGCCTCTGCTGGCCGCGCGCGGGCAGAACCCGATGGTGGTGGCGGAGTCGTTCTGCACCAGAGAGCAGATAAACAAGGGCAACATCGAGCAAGTCAGGCGGCAGAAGCAGCAGTCATCCAATACAGGTGGTGCTGTTGAGAGATCGCCGCGTGCATGCATGTGCTTACGTTTGCCGTATCGCACTGCACGCAGTATTGTGTCGATCATGCACCTGCTGTGTTCGCATGCCGCTGCCATTTTCATTCGAGTCCTGACGAGCCCCAGCAGGGGCGAAACGTTGACGCGCGTACTGAAAAGGCACGGGCTCGAGAGCGCCATACGAGTAAAGTAAAGCATCAGGGAGAGGATGGGTTATGAGTTGTGAGGAGGCAGGGTGGGCAGGACGAGGAGGAGGAGGCGGAGGAGGAGGAGGAGATAGGGTAGGGAGGAGGTTGGAGGAGGAGGTAGGGTGGGGAGGAGGAAGAGGAGGAGGAGGTAGGGTGGGGAGGGAGGGTCACATGGAGGACGATAACGAGGAGGGCAGGAGGAGTTTGACGAGGGGGACGAGGGCCGGTTCCGAGTTGAATGGTGGTAGGTGGGAAGGACGAGGATGTCGAGGATGATTAGCATGACGTAGACTTACGGAGCTTCTTTTAAGGCCTCCGAGTTGAGTCGAGCACAAGACGAGTAGAAGGACCAGGGTTAGGAGGATATTCGAAGTTTCATTTGCTGCTTCCGAGTTGAGACGAGGAGGAGCAGGAGGAGGGAACGGAAGAGGTTGAGGCGAAGGAGGACGAGTAAGCGGAGGAGGAGGAGGAGGAGGAGGAGGAGGAGGAGGGTAAGATGAGGACAAGGATATGGAGAGGAGGAGATGGATGAACAGCAGGAGGAGGAGGATGAGACGGAGATGAAGCCGTTCGGCGCCTTCGGATGCACCTGGGCTCGCGCATTGCTGCGAGCCCTGTGTTTGCTTTTGCATTGTGGTTGAGTGGTTTCACGAGATGCACATCCAGCCCGATGCCAGAACCTCTTCGGGTGGTGCGCGGAACGATCTGACTTAGCCGTCGTCGATTGACCACTTCAAGGCCTATCAGCCCCAGCAGCGAAAATAGTGCTACCGCCCGACCATGGTTCCCAACGCGGGCAACGCTTTGGGCCCGAACAATTGGAGGCCGCTTGCTATCTTGGAAACGTCATACAAGATCCCAGCCAACATCTTGCACGACCGCCTCAAGGCCATCCTGGAATCCCGTCAGCCGCCAGCTCGAAAGAATTTGTTAAGAACAATTGGATTTGATTCGCTGGTCTGGACCGTGAGCATCGACTGGACCAAGGCCTTTTTATTGGATTGAGCACACTGCTCTGGTCGATGCCATGTCAGAAAAAGGAGTGCCTATCCAGTATCGCCCGCTGCTGCAATGTTTGTACACTGCTCAACGCTGTGTTGTGGCCTGCTGTCCGTTCGACATAGATAGTGGTGTCAGACAAGGCGATGTGGCTAGCCCGATGCTCGTCAATGCTGCGCTGGAGGCGGTAATGTGTCGGTGGAAGGCTCGGCTTGGCAATCCTGGTCTTCTGCTCAGTCCACAGAGCGAGAACTTGACCAACCGTAGGTACGCAGACGATCTATTTGTTTGCTTGCTCGGTCGCTTGAGAATGCAATGTTCATTTTCGATTGCCTCGTGGAGGACTTGTTCAAAACCGGCTTGTCCGGCAATGCGCGGAAGACGAATGTATCGATACCATATATCAGCGTCGCAGCAGACGAGTGCCCGCCTTTTGTCAATGCCAGTGGTGGGATGGTTGAGATTGTCAAGCGCGCGAGCACGCACGCGATTCGAGGATGCGAGGTAAATGCGCATGGAGCAGCGGATGAAGTGTGTTTGGCTTTAACGAAAGAGCGCGCTCGTGACACACCTTTTTTAGTTAAAAAAAGGTGTCCCAGCTTCAAGCTACCCCCCCATGGAATGGGAAAAAGGGGCGGGCTTCTGAAGCCACCCTCCCCATCCTCCCCCTTTGTGCTGGTTTCTAGTCGGGGGGGCCCAGCTAAAAGGGGGGAGGCTTGGAAACTTGCCCCCCCCTTTCGGAGCGTGGGGTCGGCCTGGGCTCCGCTTTCAAACGGGGGAGGCTTCCGAAGCTACCCCCCCCTTCTTTGCAATTGGATTTCGTGGCTGGGGGCCCCTGGCTACAGGGGGGTGGCTTGGAAGCTACCCCCTCCCTCCTTTTCAGGGCCTGGGGCAGGCCCGGCCTCCCCTTCCGAAGGGGAGGAGGAGGAGGGAGGATGAGGGAGGAGGGAGGAGGGAGAGGAGGAGGAGGGAAGAGGAAGGAGGGAGGAGGAGGAGGAGGAGGAGGAGGCGCCGCTCTGGTTTTCGGCGCTCTCTTGGTTTTCGGCGCGGCGCCTCTTTGGTCATCGGCGCCCCGTGTGTCTTCGGAGCCGTTTTTTGGTTTTCGGCGCCTCTTTGGCTTTTCGGGCGCTCGTTAGGCTCTCGGCGCTATTTGGCTTTCGGCGCCCCGTTGCTTTTCGGCGCTCTTTTGGTTTTCGGCTCTCCTTTTGATTTCGGCTCTCTTTTGGTTGTCGGCGCCCCTTTGGCTTTCGGCGCTCCTTTGGTTTTCGGCGCCCCTTTGGCTTTCGGCACTCCTTTGATTTTCGGTGCCATTTTCGTTTTCGGCGCACATTCGGTTTTCGGCGCTCCTTGGTTTGGCGCTCTTTGGTTTTCGGCGCCCTTTTAGTTTTCGGCGCTCCTTCATTTGGTCAAAGGAGAGGGGCTTCCGCCCCCCCCCCTCTAAGCCCAAAGGGAGGGGAGGGGGGGTGGGCTTCCGGATGCGGGGTGGGGGAGTAGTAGCTACCCCAACCCCCTTTGGAAAGGGAGGGGCGGGGGCGGCAGCTTCCTGAGTGCGAAAGAGGGAGGGGGGGGTAACTTCCGAAGGGCAGAAAAAAGGGGGGGCTTCCAGCAGGGGAGGTGCAAGGGGGGGGGGGTATGGGGGGGCAGCAAAGCCCCCTCCCCCCTTGGGACAGGGAGGGGGAGGGGGGGTGCGCGAAAGGGAGGGGGGGGGATAGCTTCCGAGGGGCGGAAAACAAATCGGGGGGGAGGGGGCGCCTTCGGCAGGGGAGGTCGAAGGGAGGGGGGGGTAACTAGGGGGGACCCCCCCCTGGGAGTGTACCGCGGGCGATCTCTCGCGTAAGTGCCATCAATTTGCGGCGGCGCTTCAGAAGCTCAACGTTCTGATCAAATTACGGCTGAGTCTTTTTCGATTCCGTGGTGCCTCCGGCTGTTCTCTGCAGCCTGACCACGACACCTCGCTCAAAAAGACCTCGACAAATTGGACGCACTCCAGAGGAAAATGTTGGGTGGGTTCCATTTGAGGAGGAAGCGGGCCAGCTTATTGGCCATCGGATGAAGCACCAGCTGGAAGCGGCTCTGGCGCAGCAGCCCGTCACATATTGGAGCGTCAAGCGCAACGGACATAGAGATTCGCTCGTCCAACAAATCGAGCACGGAACACTGTCACAACGGTGTTCTTTCTCGTATGTTTGGCGACCTAGCGGGGCGCACCATCGAGGCCGACTGCTTCAAAGTTGGACTGACTGAATTTGTGCCTGTCAGCGTAGCGTTCTTCGTGAAGTTACCTGCGATCGAGATCTGAGCGGTTTCTCCCAGCCTTCCCACTTTCCTTCCCCCTTCGCTTCCTTCCTCCTCCTCCCGCTCCTGCTTGCCAGTGAAGCTTCCATGCGCGACGATCGCGTAATCGCCTGGGGGCCAGAAGCATGGGCCAAGTCCCCCCCCGAGTGAGTTTTAGATTGGCACGGCCTTCGGGCTGGTCGGAAATATCGCATCTAGCATGGCCCGACCATGTGTCCATGATGCACAGGAGGGGCATTGGAGAGAATGGCCACGATGCTGACTGACTAATTTGCGGCCGTGGTTTTTTGGGGATCTCAAACTCCTGGGCAGTTTGTTCCTGTGTACGAAATGTCGAGCATGAGGGGTGAGGGTTACATGAGGGATGGAGGAAGAGATGATGATGATGATGCTGATGATGATGATGATGATGATGATGGTGGTGGTGGTGGTGATGATGATGATGATGATGATGATGATGATGATGATGGTGATGGTGATGGTGATGGTGATGGTGATGGTGGTGGTGGTGGTGGTGGTGATGATGATGATGATGATGAGGAGGAGGAGGAGGAGGAGGAGGAGGAGGAGGAGGAGGGGGAGGAGGAGGAGGAAAATGGTGGTGAGGAGGATGGGGATAAGGGAAGAAAAAGGCAAACCACCACGAGGGAGGGAGGGAGGGGTGAGGGGGATGAGAAGGAGAAGGAGAGGAGGAGAGGAGGAACAGGGGGATGAGGAGGCAGGAGGAGGACGAAGAGGAGGCCACGGTTGAACTGAAGGGGCAAGAGGAGCAGTGTGATGGCAGTGGCGTGTGGCATGGAGGGCGACTGCGTACAGCGCGGGCCGCCCCCACATTTGACGAGCTTTCGTGGCCTACATCCCCGGTGCTTTGTGAGTACAGTCGGGGCGCTGAGGAAGGAACCCTTTTCGTTGGGGAGGGGCTCGGTGTTCCTTAGTTGTTTTGCAGTTCGCCTTAGGTTTTGCTTGGGGTTTCGATGGGAAATCGAAGTTTAACTCATGGGAAAAAGGGGCCTCGTTCCTTATTGAGGGTTCCTTAGGTCAACGCCCCGACTGTAGCTACGATGTGGTCAAATGCAAGACGTGTGCGCGTGGCGCCTGCCCCGTCCTCCCCCTCTGCATATGCCTCCTCCATCCCCCCCATCAGTCTGGTCCCCTTCATCCGCCTCGCCTTCGCAGTCTTACTCCGACCATCTTGGCACCGCTGCTCCATCCTGTTCACTGTTTCGCGCGTGCCATCCTGCTTCTCTGCTTCCACATGGCCTCCTCCCGTCCCTTCTCCTCGCCCACCCGCCGCCGCCCCCCGCCGACCGGCACAAAACGACGAAGGCGGCACCGACGACGAAGAACGTGGTGGCCGCGGCGGCTACGGCGAGGGCGGCGACGACGAAAGCGGTGGCGGCGAAAGTGGCGACGGCGGCGGCGAAGGCGGCGTCGACAACGACGTTCCTGTTGCGGCCAAGGACCTTCATCATCCAGAATGCTGGCGGGGAAGCGGCATGTGCGGCCCGCCGCCTGGTTGCGTTGCCTCTCACCTCGGGCAGGTGATGGGAGGGGGCGGGGCAAACAGCAGGAGGAGGAGGAGGAGGAGGAGGAGGAGGAGGAGGAGGAGGATTTTTTGCCGCACCGCAGCATGCAGCCCGCACGTCACTTCAGGGGAGGGCGAGACCCCATAAGCAAAAAGCAAAACCAGAAACCGACATCTAACAGGCAGGCTCGAAGTTTATACCCGCGCACACAGGCTGGGCGAGAGAAACAAGACGTGAAACCCTGCCTGGCGCCACCAGGGCAGGAAGGGGCCGTTCTAGACTAGAACGGCCCCGTTCTAGCCTAAGAACGGGTCCGTTCTGGGCTAGAACGGGCGGGTGCTGCCTCGGGGCAGCCCTGGTACAGGACCCGACCCACGACACCACCATACACCCATAAGAAGCTGGGGCAGTCCTCTAAATGTCTAAACAGTGCTGCTGCCACCGCGGCGAGGCAAGCAGCGCGCTGGCACAAGCCAGCGACGCACAAGAAGAAAAGAAAGGCGAAGTCCAGCCAGACACCACAAGGTAGGGCGGGGCAGGTAGTGACTCGGGGCAACCCTAGAACAGGGCCCGACCCCCAGACAAAAATGGAGCAGGTTCCTCAGTGCCTAATCGGTGTCGTTGTCTCCGCGGTGAGGAATGGAATGCCGCCCGAGGCTTCCGATACTTCGGAGACCCGCCGCGCCTGCCAAGCGGCGTCACTACGCCTACTTCATGTTGGGGTGCCTCCACCACCAGCACCTGCTGCTGAACCACGCCCTCGGGCCCGTCAGCCTCGCGCGGCGCCCGCGGCGCCGCCGCCACCGCTCGGCGAGCCTGCGCCCCCCTGGCGGGGCCAGGGCGTCGCGGCCATCCCGACATCGTCCCGTGCTGGCGCCCGGCGGCGAGGACGGCAGCACCGGCCCCGCCCGCAGAGGGCCTCGTGGCGCCTCCCGCGGGCGTCCTCGACGGCGCCTGGTCATGGTGCCAGCGCAGCCGCGCCCGCCGACGCCGCGAAGAAGGCGAAGACCACGGACGCTTTCGCTCCCAGTGCCGCCTGCCAACGCTCCGGATGGCCAGGAGGACGGCGCGGGCCAGCGCCCGCTTCGTCGCAAGCGCGGCGGGCGCCGCCGCCGAGGGCAGCACGGCGAAAAGACGCGGACCTCGAAGGACAAACGTTTGCACGCCACGCTCCTGGTGATGGGCAAGTTGCTATTCCGGACGGCGGATCGCGGCCGCCTCGCACTGGCGCGCACGGTCGACACAGTGACGCTTCCCATGAAGCACGAGGCCGTGCCGGCCGTCAGCGACACGCTGGAGGTGTTCCCCTACGGTCTACGGCAGGGCGACAAAAAGGGCTTCAAGACACTCGGGTATCCCGCAGCCTGCCTGCTGGTGGCATTGGTGGAGGCGCTCGCAACGTGCAACGTGGGCGTAGCAATCAAGGGCGAGCTGAACCAGTGGCTCAAGGCGGTCAACGGCGACGAGGACGAGATGGGGCAGCCCAGCACCAGCAAGCTCGACCTAACGAGCCACGCCCAGACGGCGCGCTTGGAGAAGTGCCACGACGAGAACAACCTGAGTATCCTGATTGCGATGAAGACCGTCCCCCACAGGGACCTGATTCTTCGCGCCTTGCGCGCTGAGGGGGCGTGGTCCACGCGGGGGCGACGCCCCCTGGCTGGCTCGAGGAAGAGCTCGGCGCGTGGCTCGACGCCCCGAGCAAGTAGCCCGCGCCGCGATGCCTGCTGGGCCAGGCCGCGATTCTAGACCCGTCCGCTTCGCGCGTGCCAGCCGCCCCCCGCCCCGGCAGGGTGTGCCGCGCCGCGCGCCGGCCGTCGTCAGCAGCGCCAGTAGCTGCGCGCAGGGGCCGCGCGCTCGACGCCCGCCCGCGCGCGAAGCGCGCCCCCGCGCAGGCCGCGCTTCGCTGCGACGCAGATTTCTAATCGGCGAAGCCGCGGACCGCGAGGCGGCCGAACTTCTAGGTCTCGGCTAGGGGCCCCCTCCGTCGAGCGGCCTGCCAGGGCGGCGCGGCGACGATCTGGCCGCGTCGCAGTTGCGCCGCCTGGCCCTGGGCATGCGCCGTTGAAAACCCTTTCTGAGGCTCCATGGGGCGGGTGGGCGGTTCTGCCTTTGAGCAGATTGTCGTCCGCCTGTCGTTTCAGGGTGCTCTGCAGAGAAGGCCGGCTCCTATCGAGGCGATTCTCGTTTTTCGCTCGAGCGTTTGAGCGCCCGGGGCGGGCGAGTCGGAGGCGCCGCCCATGCGGCGGCGGAAGCGGCGCGCGGCGCGAGAGACCCACCTGGCGCTGGGGCTTTGCCCAGTCGCCATGGGCGTGGTTCTGCGCGAGCGGTCGCGGGAAGGATAATCGCGCCCCGATTGGGGGGCGAAGGAATGCGTCGGTGGTCCTCTCGTCTCGCGCCCCTTTTTGCGCGAGGTTTGCCTGGTGATTCGTGCTTGCGCGCGATGGCCCCCGAGCGGCGCCGGCGCCCGACGCTCGACCTTCTGCCGTGCCGCGCCTTCTGCCCGCGCGTTTTAGTGCGTCGGCGCTGCTCTCTAGCTCGCCTCCGCCGCGGCTCGCCTCGCCCGCCGCTGGCGCTCCGAGCCCGGCGCGCGCGCGCTGCGCGAGCCAGTGGGCCGCGCCCCTTTGCGACGGGATTTTATCGAGGGGTCCACTGCTGACTTGTCTTTTTTTCGTACCTGGGCTCTGCTTAGAAGGGTTCTTACTTTCTGGCGTAGAGGGGCCGGGCAGTGGAAATCGCCCCGGGCGGTTCCCCCGGCCCCCTGGGGGCCGAGCAAATGCGACAGCACAGGTGCAAGCAAACGCGCGGTTCCCCCATTTGCGCTCCCCGGGCGCCAGGCATAAGCAAAAGCAAAGGCAGAAGTGAAAGCAAAAGCGAAGGCAAAGCAACAGCAATGCATTGCATTGAATTGCATTGCATTGCATTGCATTGCATTGCATAGCATAGCATAGCATAGCGCAGCATAGCATAGCGCAACATAGCCTAGCATCGCATAGCATAGCCTAGCCTAACCTAGCCCAGCATAGCATTGCGCAGCATAGCAAGCATCGCAGAGCAGAGCAGAGCATAGCATAGCATAGCGCAGCATAGCATAGCTACCGCTATTGCTACAACTACGACGAATGTTGCTTTCCTAGAGGCTCCAACTCCTAGGTGGGGTAGCACTGGGATAATTTGATTTCTTGCGCCCCAGCTCATTTGACTTCGCGACTCATCCCGCGCCGATGCGCGTGCGGGGCGAGGCCCAGGAGGGGCTCGGCGGGGGGCCGGGGCCTCCTCATCCTCCCCCTCCTCCTCCTCCATGGTTGCCCATGGGCCAACAGAGACCGCGACGTCTCCGCGCTTGGGGTGCCATCCCCTCGCGATCTGGCTCCAGGCGTGCTTCCGACCCTGAGCTCCACTCTCTGGGGTCGGCTGGCAGGGCCGTCGGAGGCTGAGCCTGCCCGCTTCCAGCGCAAAGCGTGCACTTGAGGCGCGCAAAAACAAGGCTGCCGCCCGGGGCGACAAGCAACGGCGCGCTGCAGGAAAACGCATGGGCATCCACGCCGTGGACCCCGACGCTCGCGCCACCGCGGCACAAGCTCGGGGGCGTCTTGTCGGCTGAACGTGATCTGCGAAAAAAATAACACTGCCAGCCTCGCCCCGTCAAGCTCCGAGCTTGCGTCGGACCCTGCCCTTAGCTCGCGGGGTGGCCGCGCGGGCCCTCTGCGCGCTCGGCCCGATATCGAGCCGCGGCCAAAGCGGTGGGAGCTTCGCGGCCAGAGCGCCCGCAGCTCTCGCAATGGCCAGCTTGCAATCTACATCCGCAGCTTCCGCGCGGTCGGGCTGCGGGTGGGTCAGCGCCGCTTGTCTTGCCGAAACGTCGACGGCATGGTTGCCTTCGCGCGAGTGGAGATCCCAGCTATCTTCGGCTCTTTCGATGGACTGGTGGGCCTTGGCGCTTCGCACCGCGGGGGGAACTTTCGACGGCGTTGTTGGGCAACTCCGGCGCGCGAACGCTTGGGGGGGCATTCCTCTCCCCGCGGAGGGGCATGACAATCGACGGTCAACGAACAACTCGCACGGACCACTCGACCGCTGTAGCGCGATCGAGTAAGCGTGAATCTCGGAGGCCTGCGCCGTCGGTGAACACGGGGGCCGGGCTGGCCCCCGCGCTCTAACGATCTCGAGGCCTGCGTCGCGATGCCAGAGCGAGAAGGCCCAGCCCGCGCGATCGAGTTCGGGGGCGGCCCTCTCGCTGCATGGCCCGTCCGCGAACGCATCCCGACGAAAGCGTCGTCGAGCGCGGGGGGCCCGTCAGCGACCGGCGCCCATTCGACCAGCGCCGCCCGAATGAAGAGGGCGAGGGAAAGATTCGGCGGGGTGATTGAAGTCTCCGAAGCACGCGATCGCGTCGTCCGCGTCCTCTTCCCACCTCCTCACCTCGTCCTTTACCGTAGCCTCCCTCTCGCTCGACACCTCCGTGCAACGCTATAAAGCGATGCCTTAGTGTATCTTCCGCGTCGAGGCGCAGCGGGCGCCGCGTAGGCGGCCCGGCGCAGCCAAGGTCGGCAGCGCGCTGCCTAGTGTAAATGGCGTTGCAAAGCAAAGACCTCACACGCAACTTTCCTGGAAGGGACCGAGCCGAGAGCTCTGGGGCCACCTCGAAACTCCATCGACGCACGCCCCCCCATTCAGGTTAAGTTTGGCCCCCGAGTCCCGCCCTAGCCCGCGAACGACTGCTTCCTGCAGAAGCGTCTTCAGCAGCTGAGGCGTAAACTTCAATAACTTGAGGCCGAAGTGATCGCGGCAAAAGTTCCCATTTTCCAGGAAATGCGCCCACGGGGCTTCCGAATGGCCGACGCAGGCCCAGACATATTTTTCCACGCCCCCCCCCCCCTCCCGCGGACGCCGACGCCCCGAGCTCCTCAGAGCTCGGTTAAGGGGGCAGACGACGAGTACGGAGAACGGTGGGATATCCAAACCGCCTTGGCCCAG